ATAAAAGATGTGCAAATAGCAATCAATTTTGATACGCATACTGATTCATATAATTAATCTATAATATTAAATTAAACTCAACTTGATTAAATTTTAATGATAGTGCTATAGTCTGAATGCTGGAATTCGGTTTGATTCCAATACATAGTGATGGTTACTTTTTTGCCTTTTTTTTGAGGATAAAGTAAACTCATTTAGCTCATAATAGCATCGTAACATAGAAAAGTCAGAAAGCGTGTGTTAATCTAATTTCAACAGGAACGAGTTTTATACGCTTTTTGGTTTTTGAACACGTTCAGCCTCCTCAAATATTGCATTTTGGACACGCTCAAACGCGTCTTGAGGATGCGGGTGTGCGGGTGTGTCGCTGTGGCTGTGGATGTGGATGTGGATGCTTTGGTATGCTCAGAAAATCTACGCCCACACCTATACATGAAGCAGCCACCGACACATCAACACAGACACCTTCATCCAGACAAACCAGCACCTACATCCACATGCAGCCACATCCACAACCAGGTGCAGTCAAACGAACACCTACATATGCACCGACATATACCTAAACCAAGATGCTAGCCACACCTACGCCCACACACACACCACCGTCCTATTACGCACACCCACACCCACACCCACACTTCATTCACGATTTCATTTGCTAATTTTTCTTGATAAAATCGATTTCGATTTTCATTGATTTTTTCCATTGAAAAATTATTTCCATCAACAAATATCAAGTTGCTTACTCAAATTAGAGCAATCAGAATCTAAACTTGTATTATAATCATCAGATATTTTTGTTGAACTATCAAAATCTGATTTTAAAACATTGGTTCTTTGTTATAAAACTCTATTTACGCCCTAAATTAAATCAATTAAGACGGAAATGCTGACTTTATTCTCTCTTTTTCTTACTGTTAAAACATTTGCAGCACATTGAAGAAGTTGTTGACTTGACATTTGAACATCTTCATAGGGAATTTTTGTTGATAATGAATGAAGAATTTCTGATAATTGGTAACATTTATGTGAAATCATTAGCGATGTGCGATAAAAATGTAAGAATGAAAGAATTGAGAATTAATATATTTACAAAAGGTTTTCTTGTTAATTGATTTGTTGTTTGAGTAAGTTGAATTAATGTTGATAATTGTAATTTAATACTATTGATTGTTATAACAGGAAGATTTATTGTAAATTCATTTAAATATTCCCGAAAATTTGTTTGAGAATTAAGTTCTTCGTGAAATTCATTCATTGCTGATTGATTCATTGATGAAACAGAGATTTGTGTTGGTTGAATTCCATCTGAGAAAGAAAGATAAGATTTTATTATAGAAATTAATCACCTGTTCTACTTTTCTTTGCTTGATTAAAATTTTCATTAGTACTTTGATTAAATTAAATAGAATTAATAATTTGTCCAATAGAACTTTGATCTTTAGTTTCATACAATTTAGCTAACCAATTATTTGTTTGCCTTTATAAAACAGAAACTATTGATGAAATATTAAAATTTGTAACCGAATTTATTACATCACGAATTTTAATCAAAAGATTAAGATTTCCACTTGATAATCGAACGGTAAAATTTGCCACAGATGAAAATGCAATTATTATTCGTTTTGTTGGATCGTTTAGTCAATCTAAATACAAAAGAGTTTTGCACGAAAAGAATTTTGTTTCCTTTCTTACAATAGAATGAATAATCTTTAGTATTATCTTGAATTTGCCAATCATTACATGTAATTTGAAAAAGTTTCAATTGTTCCATTTGCTGGATTAATTTAACAAGTTTCATTTGAAGGTTTGGAATTTGTTTTAAAATTCAATGCACTCATACTTGTTTCATTTTGAAATGAATAAATGACTTCAAATCGACAATAAATTTCCTCGGAATGATTCACAAACAAATCATTTGTTGCCGAAAAATTACAAGTGTTTCGTCCTTTCAAATGAAATATAAATTTTATTTCAAAGTAAACAAAGAAAAGATTTCGCACCATAAAACCAAATCATTTCATACGAATTCATCTTGGAGAATAAAATTCGTTGAGTTGAATTTGATGATACATCTGTTGGCCGATAATAAATATTCCATTGAATTATTTCATTCGAAGGACAATTTTCATGCCACTATGAATTTAATGCAACTTGTGTTGTGGAATTTATCAATTAATATATTGAAATCGTATGTTCACCTTAATTCTATGAAAATTTTATTCTTTACTATATCTGCAAAATAAATAATCAATATGATTATATAATGGATCTTGTAGCTATATAAAAGGTTTCTCTTATCGTTTGATTATATTCTTAATAGTATTCATAATAAACCAATTCTAATAGACATCACACTTTGTAAGGATCTATTCAATTCTGTCTATCTAATACATATATATTCTATCAATTTATCTTACCGCTCTGTTAAGATCACCTGTTGAACATAGATAATCTATCGTCATATATACAATTTATTCATAATACAACACATTGTATATATGACGATAGATTATTTATGTTCAACAGGCGACAATAACAGAGCGGTAAGATAAATTGATAGAATGTATATGTATTAGATAGACAGATTTGAAAAGATCCTTACAAAGTGTAATGCACATTAGAAGAAAGGCAAGAAAATACAGTTGAATAATAATAAAAATAACATGAACACATGTGCAAGAAAAATACATCCAATCACAAGTTAACAATCATATGACAAAAGAGAAAAAGAGTAAATATTATTTAATGTACGATGAAGAATCAATGTTTAATCTTTGAGATATAATTCATTAATCGATATTTTCTCTTTTCCAGATCATAACCTGATAAAAAATTATAATTAAATTCGGATAAAATCACATTGAGATAATTTGATATTAAAGTCGATAATTCAATATCGGTGATGCTCCAGGATTTGTTGTTGAAATTGTACATAAATAATATTTGTGGTTTCATTGTTCTAATACCATCACGTAGATTGATTTCATAGTCATAATATTGACCAAAGAAAAATACCGGTGATGATACTGTTTGATAGGAAAGTATAGTTATATCGGAAATAAGTACTAATCCTTTCAGTTTGTCTATATCACCACCGTCAAGGTTCGTTGTTGTATTCGAATATTCAATACATTTCAGAAAAAATTGTAATTGATCAAAACCCAGGTGAAGGAATCCTATATCGGATCCAACCAGCCTATAAAACCAGATGGGATTCCGGGTTACGGAACCAATAACGGATCCGACGGGAAAAACCTTTAATTATTGACCACTAATTTGTACCTCAAGCCAGCATTAGAGAGTAGTTCGAGTCGAGCGTTGGATCCGTCACAATCCGACAGTAGGATCCGATGATTATACAATGTTATTCCGACACTAGGGATCCGGATGTCATTCCACAACCCGGAATCCTATCGGAATCCTATAGGATCTTATTGGGTCCGATTGTCGGAATGATCCTCCTGGGTATTCAATCCATCAATTATTGGTATAACTGTAGCATAATTGTTTTACATCCGATTTTGTTCATCGTTGAATGATTTATACGCGGGATTATTTAAACCACCAAGATCAATAAATATGCTTTTGAAAGACGAATCCCTTTTGTTTTTACATTGACTGAACATTAAAATCGATTGTTTAATCACATTTTGAACTTCGTGTTGCATATTATTATTGCCTTTTAAATTAAATTTAGATGAATCTATGTGAAACAAGTAATTTCTACTATCATCTAAAAGAATCGCCACAGCAATGCACGAATACACTTCAGATGTTGATAAAACAGCATTAATTGATGCTTCTCCATATGAAACATTTTTTATACGATAAGACATTACAGTGTCTAGGTAAAACAAAAAGAAAAATTAAATCATTAGTTTTATTTATTATCAATTGAATTTGTTTCTTCGTTATGGTTTACATTTATCTTTACATTGTCGAAAATTCGATTGAAAAGAGCGTTATTATACTATGAATAGCCGAATTTCGTTAAGCACAAAAAACTCAAAAACCTTCTTATAAGTATTTTATTACAAAGATATCACTACAAAATAGTATGATATTGTGTTGAAATTGAACATTGAGGGTTAAAAAGAGAAATAATTTGATGAATATCATAGACCATTTCAATTTTATCATGATCTTCAATTAAATATATTTTGATCTATATTTCTACTTGATTTTTCATCAATCAGCTGTATCTTCTCATAAACTCATTTTATCAGATAGAATTGTACGATAAATTCATACTAGAAAGTATGCAAATGGATCTATAGATATAAGAACAATATTTTCAAATAATTATCAATAATCGTCAATTCTATCGGATGAATAGAATTAGTTAAAATCTTTTAAATGAGATTTGTTTAAACAATAAGTATAGGTTCTCAAATGAACCTGTCGTTTATATTTTCAATAGCAACTATACTTGTCCAATCAAATGAATATACGATACGAGTGTGAAGAGCGTGTCCATTGTACGGTTAGGTTTTTCAAAGAAAAATGTTTATAAAACCAGTTCCGTTTGTTCAATTGATCCATAGATGTTTATAAACTAGTGGCAAAATCAAGTTTCCAGCTGTCGTAGTTTCTGAGATAGCAGGACAATAATGTCGAAATATCTAGCTTCTAACACCATCTAGTGATATAAAACGTAGTTTTTATTACATTCCAAGTATTGTAAAATTATTTTTCTAATTAAAGCTGTAGAGCTCGTTAAGTTCTTCCAGAATATGTTTTTGTTTTATCTTTAAACGAAATACTACAAATAAAAAATGTCAAAAACACGGTGAAAACACCTGTCATGTTTAGTGTAGAGAAACATTAAAATCATTGGCTAATTCATTCTAACGGATTTCATCTAAATAAATTGATTGGATACACAAGAGGTAAGGGGGAAAATAATTTGACAAGAAAAAGGTTAAGTGCTGGTAAAGTTCGTTGATACAAGAACTTCACGTAAAGTATAAGTAGTGTCCTGCACGGGTGCAACTTTTCATACCCGGAGCCGACCCGACTGATTTTTCCCACACCCGGAACCGCCCGGACCCGGTGGCCTTACGCCCGGACCCGAACCGGACCCGGACAACTATACCCGGTAACCGACCGGCACCCGACCGGATTGTGGTCAAAATTTTGCTAATAGTTTATTAGTGAGATGATCTCAATGAGATAAATAATCGATAATAAATAATAGATAATAAATAATCAATAAAAATAATAAATAACATCAAAAACAATGTTTTTGTTGTTCAACTAAGGTCTAGAAGATAAAATAGAAGTGAATTCAAATGAGAAATTATAGAGAAATGAATACTTACAATCAATAATATATAACATTAAAAACTACGTTTTTGTGGTAGAAGAGATGATGAAGAGCTGAGCTAGGATAAAAAGTAAAAATTAATGAACATGTAGAAGTATGTGAGAATGGATACTTACGATGATTCATGTAAATGTGAGGCGGTAATAGATCAGTTATATAAAGCAGCTAGCACACTTAGCGAAGTTTCTTTAACATATAAGTAGAACAATCGTGTTTGTGGGTTAGGTTAGGTGACCCGTCGTGACTATTGAATATATTAGTGAATAATAACCCAATCAGATTCACATTCCTATGACTGAAATGACTGAAATCGACAATGATATCTGAAAATTTCATGTTTCTTCTAGATATCACTAGTTGGCCGGTCGGGTGTCGGTTTTTTGAAAATTCCTCAGCCCGACCCGACTTTTTTTTCCAGAACCGGCACCCGGCCCGACCCGGAGCTTTTCACCCGGACCCAGGTACCGGGTCGGGTCGGGTGCCGGTTACCCGACCCGGCTGCAGTACACTAAGTATAAGCGCATTTAAGGTTCAGACAAATTGTAGAGCGACATTTTAAATTTTCTCGTTCGTAGAACTCTATGAAAACTCAACATTTTGCCGCAAAATTGTAATCATTGTTTGAGCTCAGAGTACAGTAATACCTCAAAAACTGAAATGAAAATCTTTCTTCGTTCATGAAAAAATTAAATTTTACTGAGAAATTGTAAGGCGATATGAAAATCATGGAAATTTCAGTTGGACAGATTTTATTTCAACATATTCCATTGAGTATCGAATGAAGTAGCAAGTGAAAGTATTTATGACATCAAATGATTTTGCTGGAAAACTATTTATAGGAGCAGTCTGTATACCCAGTTTATAGAGAAAATGCATGTATTACATAGAAATTGGCTGTAAAATGGTGAATTTCGACCAACTGACATGGAAGTGTAGGGAAAATATCATTTATATACGTATTCGATATTGCTCTTTTAAATAGAATAGTTACTTTTCCATTATGATTAACTTTATTTTCTTCGATTTTTTACCCCAAACAGTACAAATGAAGTGCTCTTCACTCATGCATCTGATATTCTTGTTGAATGTATGCTTCAATTCCATTTTACTCATGATAATACCTATAGATTGCTAAGGTAGCAGTATATGATATATTTATTGACACAACTGAGTGATATCCATCAAATAATATGCAATTCATCAATGTCATATCATTTCAAATGAATCTATTGCTTAAAATTTGAGTTTTGCAGCAGTTTGAAACAGTATAAGATATTGTATACACAACTAGCTGATAACGTTGTATAAAATAGTTTTCAACGTTTTTGAAGAAAAAAATCATTAATTCAGGTCATAAGTCATGGTAAAAAAAACAAATTGTGCTCGAAAATCTATATTGAGCATATTATGTAGCACTAAAAGCCAGTCAATCGAGAAAACAATAAATGTATATATTGGAAACAATGACAATTGTCAATCGTATTAGTATTAAATAGGATGTGGGTGTGTTTTTTGCTCGAGAAAATGTCATTCAAAACGAGGTTGTTGTAAAAATATGGGTGAATAGAGTAAAGCATTTAGGCTTCTAATTGTAAAATGTTCAGAAAAAAAAGGTTTTGTTGAATAAAATATAGTTATAACACTTAAATTTTGATTATTTTCTTTTTAAGAATTTATCTCTAGTCCGATTCTAATTTTGCCCGGGCAGAATTCGAATTCCAATTCTGCCTGAAAAAAGAAACCGGTCAAAATTAGAATCTTGATTTTGCCTAGGCAGAATCAGAATTCTAATTACATATTCTTGATGTTTATTCAATACTTATTATCTATGTCTCACTTTTATATTTAGACATATTATAATTTATTTTAAAAACTTTACTTTTTGATCCTACACTTATATTTATACACATATTCTTATGATGTATTTAACATGTATTTTCTTGATCTTACACCAATATTCGTACATATATACTCACAACACGTTATTATTTATATATTGTTTTTCAATTTTCTAATTATCACATTCATTATATGTACTTTATTTATTTATTTATAGGCTGATTGACTTAATATTAATCTTCTCTATCCTCATATCATCTCAATTAAATTAACATGTATAATCTAAGAATTCGATCCAACAATTACAACACAGGCTTGAACAATCACTTCTTCTCATCTACACTATCAATTCATCTCAACCATACTCACATACAACTTAACATGAACATATCACATCTCTATAGTAATATCTTTCGTTATATCTTTCATAATGTTTCCTGGTGATGTATCACTGAATGTAGCACGAACGCTTGAATCTATTCTTTATTTAATTTCTGTTTGAAATAAATATATAAAAAAATATGCTTTTTGCAGCAGTTATCTCTTTATTTTCATATCTATTTCCTACTGCTCACTCTCCTAAAACTAAAGTGTTAGTCGATTGTTTGTTTTTGTCTTCTATTAAAATTATATTGTTTTGATTAAATTTTTAATGGGGGGAAGAAAAAAAAGAGTAATAACCTTATAAATATGCATACAAAGATAAATATACAGATGAAAGAAGGACGAAAAGAAAATGGAAAGATAATATAAAGGGCAAAGAAGGAAGGGTGATGTATTGGTAAGGGTACCATGCGAAGAATCATATTGAATCATGGTGATTAAGAAAAAACCCAGTAGAAGAAGAAAGAAAAAAGAAATACTGGGTAAAAAGGACTCTGTCGTATATATATAAGCTATGGATTCTATCGAGATATGATCACTTGCTATTTGGCACGTAGAATACATCATAATATTCCTCGACGCATTCATCATTTATTGATTTTTTTCTTGCTTGCAATATAAAGAATAACTGCCAACAGGTGAAGCAAAAAGTATCAAGTTTAAGGCGTTTCATTTAACAGTAAGTTAAAAAAATTAACAATCAGTAAATCCTACGTAATTCCCATTTCTGAAAGAAAGGATTATCGGGTCGTTTTAACGACCCTATTTTTAAGTAGGGCCGTTAAAAATGCTTAAAGTTTGTTTGTTTGTTTGCCTAATCCAATCAGATTTCTTTGGCCTGTAGTTCGGCCTAGGAAGGTTATTTTTGGTCGGAGTTTCATCCAATAAGGTTTTTCGACATTGCGTTTTAATCAATAGGATTTCAGGGGGAGGGGACGACTCAGTCAATCAGATTTCTTTAACCCGCAGCCCAGCCTAAGAAGGTTATTGCTCTTTTTGTGATTTTATCAAAACTTCTATTATTCCCTTTTCTGAAAGAAAGATTTATCCAGCGGTTAAATCCTGCGCTCAAAGTGAATAAAGTTTGTCCGTATCTTCTAGCCAATCAGAAATCAGGATGAAATAAAATAAGGAATACTCTGCCACCGTCATGAGAAAAGCTTCGCCGAAGGATAATCGAGGTTGGAAAATCCAAATCTGACGTTAGTTTTTGAAATTTTTTTCACATTGAGCTTTTTTAGGTAAACAATGGATTTTTCCCAAAAATTAGATTTTTTTATAAAGTTTGACCAGAAGGTAATTGGACCCGAGGAATCCAAATCTGATGTTAGGTTTTCGAATTTTTTGTACACATCAGATCCTTCGGTATGATTAAACAGAAATATGTAGAAAAAACAAAGTGGCTGCTTGAAACCCTTATGTTGAATCTTCATAGGCATCAACCGTATAATAAATAGCATGTAAAATAAATAAAATCAAAGAGGATCAAAAGGAAATGAGTGAGAAACATATGTGACATGTTCGAACGCTATCTACCGGAACAAAAATATTGACTCGTGCTTGGGAAAAAAAGCCCATAAAAAATACGGAGTAAAAGGAAAGACAAAACTGCATCGCACAGCATTATAAAAAATCACCGCAGAAGACATTTATTTGTAAGTACATAATAATATGCTTCGTTGACTCACCTAATTGAATAATGCTTGGAAAAAATCGACGAGGGGCATTAAATATAAATATGCAAGGTAGCATGCTTCTTACATACACAAAAGCAACTTCAATACATATCAGTATTAATTTCACTCGTAAATAGGGGTGCAACGGTGACGGTGATCCACCGGTGGACTCAGTAGAAACCTACGGTGATAATCGGTTCATTAGCACTGGCGGATTCTTCTAATAGAGAAGTGTGTGGATAACGGAGAAAACCGGTCATCACCGTAGGTACGGCTCACCGTCACTATTGCATCCTGTTAGCTTCTGATGGACATACAGTGAAAGAATGGAAATGTCGCATGTGTAATTTTTGTCTCAATTCTTCTTTATTTCGCAATACAGGTACTCACAATTGCACAGATGTCTCAGAATGTCTGGGATACGGCACGGGACGAGATAGATCGCACACGACCTCCAGTTATCAGCCAAGTTTATGATGGTTCTTATTTGGCTGGGAAGACCGTTGGTGAAGCTCTCAACAATGTGATTGAAACAGCAGAAAAGAAATCGCCGCTGACTGCTTCTGCCGCCAGAATAGCACGAGCTTACGCGGAAGATCAACTTCCAATGTTCCAGGATAACCGTAACAAGAAGAACTAGACCAGTTTGATGCTGCTGTCAATCTGTACTGGGTTCTTTCTTTCTTCTTCTACAGGGTTTTTTTCTTAATCACCATGAGTCAATATGATTCTTCGCATGATACCCTTACCAATACATCACCCCTTCTTCTTTGCCCTTATATTATCCTTCCATTTTCTTTTCGTCCTTCTTTCATCTGTATATTTATGTTTATATATGAAGAAGAACATATTCAAGAAATACATCTTTAATATTTTATTTTCGAGCTTTCGAGATTATCACAATCTCATCGTCAGGAAAATCATAATATAAAAGAACAAGACAAGCGAACGAGGTTTAGATGACTAATCACAAGTTCTTGTTCGTCTATCAACTAACCAATTGCACAGTATATACTATGTTGAACATATATTCGAATCCGATCCAAACACTGTGGTCTTGAACGAAATTTCGTTCAACGCCCAATGACGATTACGTTGAGTTAGTGGTGTTTCTTTAATCTCTCTTCGTCTCTTGCACGAATCAAACGTTAAGATAATGGGATCATCAAATCGTCATTTATAGTTGAACGTTTTTGCATGTTCCACAACACTCGATATAATCGGATCTATCTTACTCAAATTGTGTCTGCGTTGTTTCATCCGTTCCTCAACGTCCTTCCCTGTTTGGCCAATGTAACCTTTTTCACAATCTATACATGAGATGCAATATACCACACCAACCCGTTTTTCATTTCTTCCTTTCATTTGTACGCTAAAATTTTGTCCAATCGTTCGACATTTTTTGAAGATTATTCGACAATTCAAATTGAATATACGGAAAATACTCATCAATTTTTGACTATAACCGGACGACTCGTGTGCGAGATAGCTCAGCAGGACATTAATACGTTCATCATTGATGGCATCAAGCTTCGATAACGTCGTTGTTTGAGAATTGCCGTCACTCATTCGGCGTTGCTTTTCTTTTTCTCTACATACTGTATTCTTCATAGTTTTCATAACTAATCTCTGCGGATACCCCTTGTTTCGAAGTACATTCTTTAGAGATTCCAATTCATCATTGAGCAAAGTGTCATTCGAGCGAGGGTGAGGGTGTGAATGAAATGATTAACGAATTAGCAATGTAAATAGATGATTATACGAGTAAATAAATAAATAAATAAATAAATAAATAAATAAATTTTAGTAAATAAATAAGAGTAAAAAACTGAATTATTTATTAGAAATTCGAAGAAATGAATAAATTACGTTTTTTGTTCAGTTTTAAATTTATATTTAGTTTTCTTTTATTTTATTTTAAATATTTTTGTTTCTTTGTTTTTTTCAAAATTTGAACAAAAAAAGCTTGTTAGCGGAATCACTGTGGGATTAAAATATGAAACACAATGAGACTTCTTTTCTGGAGTTCGTCTATCACTGTCACTAATGGTCTGTGGAGCTTCTCTGTTATGGTTTGTATTATGATGTATGGAGTCTCTAGAAACCATCACAGACCGTGACAGAGAATTCAGAGACCATCACAGATCGTGACAGAGAAATTAACTAGCTAGCTAATTAATTAATTTCTCTGCCCCGGCCTGTGGGGAGGGGGCGGTGGATGGGTCCAAATTTCTACCCTATATACTTCAACACTCCTTTCAGAGCGTGTTTCATAAAAATACTATTGATACGAGGGCAATTTGTGCACTGATTTATTCAATACTAAAAAAACTACTATATGGATGTGTCAGGTTCACTTTGTAAGTATAAATTCAAAACGATAAAGAGTTAAATACAGTATTTTTGATCATATAAGTTAAAAGATTCGATCAAATCATTGGTATCATTGCTAAATTCAACAGGTAATAGTGAGATTGCTTGTTTGCCGTGCTCTAATTTTCATTTAATATATGTATTATCTGTTCCATATCCGATATCGTGAACGAAAAGCTCTAACTTTAGCTATGTAACTTATATACATAAACAAATGCAATAGATATGTGAAAATAGTGTCATTCGACTGAGAGAGAAGTAGAAAAATCAAGTCATTTACTTATATGAGATCTATGTAACTAAAAGTTGATAAAGTTCACTAAATATCCATGTTTTGTTTTCGTGATCAATTAAACCTAAGTTCAAGTTGGTATATTGAACATAGTATTCCGATTCATCGGTTTATCTCATAAAATTGTTTCACTATCTGACTAAGTGCATGAATGAAATTCTTTTTTTCTTCAAAAACGCTGAAAACTACTGAAAAATATCCTATATAATGTTATCAACTAGTTGAGTATACAATATCTTATAGGGTTGCAAACTGCTGCAAAACTCAATTTTTCATTTGAACATAGACAAAGGAAGCGATGGCTGAGAAAATGACTCATTTAACTAAAAGTTATTTTCGAAAGTAGAAAACCAGCATTTACTGAGCCAGTAGACCAGTATAATACTGGTGCCGGTGCATCCCTAATCACATGTCAATCATATATTTTAAGTCAAACATACCGAATAATATATATATTTTATAAATAGTATATGATTAACAATAAATCGACAACTAGACTATATATATATATATATATATACCTCATTCAATAGAAATAAATTAGATTTATCAATCGATGTATGTATTAGCGTTGGCATACAAGGGAACTCGAATAAATAAAAAGGAAAATACTTGATACAAGTTCACCTGTTGAGTATTCCCGCTTCTAGGATAGACAATATAACACAGAAAACATTGAATTATACATCATTCGATAGAGTAAGATCAGATAAAGCCCATCCCTCCCCCCAGAATAGACGGCCACCCACTGTATAAGGCCATTTTGCGACAAAACTTCAAGCGCTCTATTAGAAGACCATACACTAATTAATTAATTACAAAAATGCAGAATTTTTAATAAATATTAATAAATATTTATGCAAAATAACCGATTTTCCAGTGTTTTTTGCGAAATCTTTACTGTCCTATCGTAAATAGTATAGTTTTTTCAGTCAAAAAGCCTAAAAACAAATAATTAAGATTATTAATTATTTTAATTAATAATTGGACAAAAATTGACCCTCAATAGAAGGCCACCGAAAAAATAACGATGTGCTGAGACACTGTATAAGGTCATGACCTTTTATTCTGGGGGGGGG